AATAAATTAACTCTTACCAACTTCAGGACTCATGTCTTAAGTAAGAGACATTCTTACTGACCAATAACACAAAATATCACACCCCCAGCACTAGGATCCTCAGTTTTGAATTCTTTTAACCATTTCTGTCAAAAGCCTTGCTGTAGCCAGGTGTGGTGGCACATTCCTGTAATCTCAGCTGCTTGGGAGGCTGAGGAGGGCAGATCACTTGTCCCTAGGAGTTCTATATATATGAATAATTTACTCTCTATATAATAATTTTTGTGTATACACACACACACAAAAAAAAAACTGGATCAGTAAGGAATTTACACTTACTACTTTAGATGAAGAACCCCAGGAGAAGGTAAGATAACAGAGTCTCTGGGACAGAAGTGACCTCATTTTCCCTGAAAGTTTACAGGGCAAAGTCACAAGTGAGTCTGTTATGTTTGGGGTGTTTGTCCTCTTCAAATCTCATGTTGAAATGTAACCTTCAGTGTTAGAGGTGGGACCTGGTGGGAGGTGATTCGATCATGGGGGTGGATCTTTCACGAATGACTTAGCACCATTTTTTGGTGATGTTCTCTCCCAGTTAGTTCACATGAGATCTGGTTGTTAAAAAGAATCTGAGACCTCCCCCTTCTCTCTTTTGCTCCATCTCTTCACCATGTGATGTGCTGTCTGCCCTTCACTTTGTGCCATGATTGAAAGCTTCCTGAGGCCTTCACAAGAAGCTGATGCTGGCACCACGCTTCCTGTACAGCCTGCAGAAACATGAGCCAAATCAAAACTTGTTTTCTTTATAAATTACCTAGTCTCAGGTGTTTCTTTATAGCAGCACAAGAATGAACTAACACAGAGTCTATGGGAAATAGGACTCAAAAAATTGGTGGCAGGGTGAAGTGTCACCCAAATACTGGTCATCGGGCAGGAATATGGTCAGGGGAGTAGGCTGCTCTTATTTTCTCACTCAGAGTTCCCGCAGCCTACTTTCAGCTCTAGGGAATGGGTCAGAACAAAACATTTTTGTGGGAGTGAAATAAATATCTTTAGATAATCCACATAGGAGGGTAAGGAGGGAAGAACAGGAACTTCATCAACACATGATATATTAATCCATTTTAACTACAAAGAACTACCTGAGACTGGGTAATTTATGAAGCAAAGAGGTTTAATTTACTCACAGTTCCACAGGCTTAACAGGAAGCATGGCTGGGAGGCCTCAGGTAACTTACAATTGTGGTGGAAGGGTTAGGGGAATCAAGCATGTCTTACCATGGTGGAGCAGGAAAGAGCGAGAGTGAAGGGGGAAGTGCCACACACTTTCAAACAACCAGATCTTGTGAGAACTCATTGACTCTCACAAGAACAGCAAAGGGGAACTCCACCCCCATGATTCAGTCACCTCCCACCAAGCCCCTCCCTGACATGGGGATTACAATTCGAGATGAGATTTGGGTGAGGACAGAGCCAAACCATATCGTTCCACCCCTGGCCCCACCGAAATCTCATGTCCTCACATTTCAAAGCCAAGTATGCCTTCCCAACAGTCCCCCAAAGTCTTAACTCATTCCAGCATTAACTCAAAAGTCTAAGTCCAAAGTCTCATTTGAGATAAGGCGAGCCCTTTCTGCCTATGAGCCTGTAAAGTAAAAAACAAGTTAGTAACTTCCAAGATACAATGGAAATACAGGAATTAGGTAAATGCTGCCATTGCAAAAGGGATAAATTGGCCAAAACCAAGGAACTACAGGTCCTATGCAAGTTCAAAACCTGGCAAGGAAATCATTAAAAAATATATATATATATATTTTTGGAGATGGAGTCTTGCTGTCGCCCAGGGTGGAGTGCAGTGGCATGATCCTGGCTTACTGCAACCTCCGCCTCCCGGGTTCAAGCAATTCTCCTGCCTCAGCCTCCCAAGTAGCTGGGACTACAGGCACACGCCGCCACACCTAGCTAATTTTTTTTTTTTTTTTTTTTGAGACAGAGTCTCACTTTGTCACCCAGGCTGGAGTACAGTGGCGCGATGTCTGCTCACTGCAAGCTCTGTCCCCCTGGGTTCATGCCGTTCTCCTGCCTCAGCCTCCCGAATAGCTGGGACTACAGGCGCCCGCCACCACGCCTGGCTAATTTTCTTTTGTATTTTTAGTGGAGACGGGGTTTCACCGTGTTTGCCAGGATGGTCTCAATCTCCTGACCTAGTGATCCGCCTGCCTTGGCCTCCCAAAGTGCTGGGATTACAGGCGTGAGCCACCGCACCTGGCCATTTTTTGTTGTATTTTGTTAGAGACAGGATTTCACTGTGTTGCCCAGTCTGTTCTCGAACTCCTGAACTCAGGCAGTCCACCTGCCTCAGCCTCACAAAGTGCTAGGATTACAGGCGTGAGCCACTGCACCTGGCCGGAAGTCATTAAATCTTAAAGCTCCAAAATAATCTCCTTTGACTCCATGTCTCACATCTAGGTCATGCTGATGCAAGAGGTGGGCTCCCAAGGCCTGACCCTGTGGCTCTGCAGGGTACAGCCCCCACAGCTGCTTTCACGGGCTGATATTGAGTGCCTGTGGCTTTTCTGGGCACATGGTGCAGGCTGTCAGTGGATGTACCATTCTGGGGTTTGGAGGACAGTGGCCCTTTTCTCATGTTTCCACTAGGCAGTGCCCCGGTGGGGACTCTGTGTCAGGGCTCCAATCCTGCATTTCTCCACTGCACTGCCCATGAGGGCTCTGCCCCTGCAGCTGATTTCTGTCTGGACATCCAGGCATTTCCATACATCCTCTGAAATCTAGGTGGAGATTACAAAACCTCAACTCTTGCCATCTGCACACCCGCAGGCCCAACATCACATGGAAGCTGCCAAGTCTTGGGGCTTGCAACCTCTGAAGCAATGGCCAGAGCTGTACCTTGGCCCCTTTTAGCCATGGCTAGAGCTGGAGTGGCTGGGATCCAGGGCATCATGTCCCAAGGCTGCACAGCGCAGCTGGAGCCTAGGCCTGGACCATGAAACCATTTTTTCCTTCTAGGTCTCTGGGCCTGTGATGGGAGGGACTGCCTCAGCGGTCTCTGAAATGCCAGGAGACATTTTCCCCATTGTCTTGGCTATTTAACTCTTCTTTACTTATGCAAACTTCTGCAGCAGGCTTGAATTTCTCCCCAGAAAATGGAGTTTTCTTTTCTACCACATGTCCAGGCTGCAAATTTTCTAAACTTGTATGCTCTGCTTCCCTTTTAAATATAAGTTCCAGTTTCAGATCATCTCTTTGTTCATACATATGAGCATACACTTTTAGAAATACCCAGGTTACCTCCTGAATGCTTTGCTGCTTAGAAATTTCTTCCAGCAGATACCCTAAATCATCTCTCTCAAGTTCAAAGTTCCACAGATCTCTAGGACAGGGGAAAAAATGCCACCAGTATCTTTGCTAAAGCATAGCAAGAGTGACCTTTACTCTAGTTCCCAACAAGTTCCTCATCTGCATCTGAGACCACTGCAGTCTGGACTTCATTGTCCATATCACTATCAACATTTTGGTCAAAACAATTCAACAAGTCTTTACGAAGTTCCAAGCTTTCCCACATCTTCCTGTCTTTTGAACTTTCCAAACTGTTCCAACCTCTGCCTGTTACCCAGTTCCAAAGTTGCTTCCACATTTCCAGGTGTCTTTATAGCTGTTATAAATAATTTTCTGTATAGTCCGTTTTCACACTGCTATAAAGAGCTACCTGAGACTGAGTAATTTGTGAAGAAAAGAGGTTTAATTCACTCACAGTTCTTCAGGCTTAACAGGAAGCATGACTGGAAAGCCTCAGAAAACTTACAATCATGGCAGAAGATAAAGGGGAAGCAAGCATGTCTTACCGTGGCAGAGCAGGAGAGAGAAAGAGTGACGGGGAAGTGCCACACACTTTCAAACAACCAGATTGCATGAGAATTCACTCAGTGTCAGGAACAGCAAGGGGGAAGTCCATGCCCATGATTCAGTCACCTCTCACCAGACCCCTCCCCTGACATGTGGGGATTAAAATTCAAGATGAGATTTGGGTGGGGATGCAGAGCCAAACCATATCACATGGTCAACACAAGCTTCTTGGTGATGCCCCAAACTTCAGAACCAGCTAAAGGTTTACCATCAGCCAGAAGAGCTGTGGGAATGAGCCTCCCAGAAAGAAGACATGAAAGGCGTTTGGCATCTGCAATGATGATGATGATGATGATGATCATGATCATGATCATGATGCTGGCTAAATGCTGACTCTGAGCCCTGCATGATGGTAAGCAGTGTCTATGGACTGGCTCATTTAATCCTCATAACAATGTCTATCTAATATCTATCTAGAGGTAGATATTAAGATAACGCCTATTTTCCAAATGAAGAAACTGAGCCTCCAAGAGATGAAGTAACTGGCCCAAGGTCACACAGTTGGTAAATTGAAACCTGAGTGCTTACATGGATGTTTTCCAGGTTGAGGCCACATTAACTGGTGGGGAGAGAAATGAAGAGCCCAGCACAAGGGGTGGACTGATGGGAGCATGTTCGGGCTAGTGGGAATAATAATAAAAAATAACAGTCAGCATTTATTGAATGCTTACTAAGTGGCTGGCACTGTTCTAAGCACTTTTACATGCATTAACTTGAGGTGAAATAAAACCCAAATACACAGAACTGGCAAATGAGGGTCCATGCTTGAAGGTTTGGAAAGACTTGGAAATACCCTTTGGGCACATCAAGCAGGAAAAAAAAAAAAAAAAAAAAAAAAAAAAAAAAAAAAAAATTCAGCTGCATTTTGGAAGCTTCCTCTGATCAAAGATACCCATTCACCCAATATTTATTTATGAAATGCCTATTGTTTCCCAGGCAGTGTTCTAGGCACTGAGAACAGGACAGATTCCAGGAGAAGGAGAAGTCCAGGAACACAAAAAGATATAAAGAAATATTCAGAAGTGCCATATTTTTGACCTTTTCATCGACACTACCAGAAAAGGGAAAACTTAAATACTGTTTGATTTTGCCACCAGGCACCACAAAACTGCGCCCTTGCCTGATTTCATTTCAGCAAGCTTTACTGTGAAGTGTTTATGTGCCAGGCACCATGTATAGAAGCGCTGGCCCAAAGATGAAGATGAAGTTTCTATCCTTAAGGCATGCGGTGTGGGAGATGAACAGGTAAGTGGATAATTACATTACAAGTGATTTGTGCCATGATTGAGGTGTGAGCAAAATTCCATGGGAGCAAAGAAGAGTGACTAATTCTGCTTGGGGGTGTCAGATAATGTTTAATGGAGGAGGGGGGGCATCTCAACTGGGCCTGAGGGAGGATGAGGAGATTGCCAGGTGGAGATGGGGAGAAAAGACCTCTAGAGAGGAGTAGTTTGTGGACAGAATGATCAAATTGCAGATACTAAGTTCTGAAATACGGACTGTGCATGGACATCCTAGTACCCTCACAATTGTGAGGGCAGGGGAGTCCACAGAGATTACTAATTTATTTTATTTTATTTTATTTTATTTTTTTTTTTGAGACGGAGTCTCACGCTGTTGCCCAGGCTAGAGTGCAGTGGCGCGATCTCGGCTCACTGCAAGCTCCGCCTCCCGGGTTCCCGCCATTCTCCTGCCTCAGCCTCCTGAGTAGCTGGGACTACAGGCGCCCGCCACCGCGCCCGGCTAATTTTTTGTATTTTTTTTTTTAGTAGAGACGGGGTTTCACTGTGGTCTCGATCTCCTGACCTTGTGATCCGCCCGCCTCGGCCTCCCAAAGTGCTGGGATTACAGGCTTGAGCCACCGCGCCCGGCCTGATTACTAATTTATTGAAAAAGAGCACTGAGGCTTATGTTGGTGCCAGCTAAAATGACTGGGTTGATAAACAACCCACCTTTGTTTCTCTATGCAGAAATCACCTAGGCACCTGCCATATTTTTTCTAGCCTAGGTTTAAGTTAAGGTGTCAAAAAGACTTGAAATGCTCCTTTACACATTTGGGGAGGGGAGTATGTTGGTACAACCCCTGCAGAAGGCAGATTGGCAACATCTGCCAGAATTACAAAGGCATATAGCTTGTGACCCAGCAAGCTCACTTCTAGGAATTTATCCTTGGATGCACTCAGTCACATGTGAAATAACTTATGTACGAGTATTCATCACATCATTGTAACAGCAAAAGATTGGAAACAAAGTAAGTGCTCATTACAAGGGAATTGGTTAAGTAAATTATGATATGTCTTTAAAATGGAACACTATTCAGTCTGAAAACAATAAGGTAGCTCTTTTCGTCCTGTTGGAAATGATTTCAAGGATATATTGTCAAATGAAAAAAGCAAGGGCAGAACCACACATATAAAATAAGGATGGAAAGAATTCAAGTCCTCCATGGAGTATGCAAACTGCTCAGTTAAAAGTCCCTGGGTTGCCCTACCTCCAGCCTCCTTGTGATGTGTGATGCAAAACTCACTGTTTAAGTCAGTTGAGAAGGAGTTTTCTGGTTTTGTAGCCAAAAGCATCCAGACACAGAACTCTAAGGTCAGGAGAGGCCTTTGTGTTTGGACCCAGAAAAATGCAGAAGCAGAAGGTAAATCTTTGACTTAACAGAAATTCCCCAGTGTACTCCATATTAACTCCAGTGGGCACTCTCAAGTGCTTTCCCCTCTAGAAATTCCAAGCCCTGAACCGCAGAGCAGCCAGGCATTCACATGATGCAGCCATGGGGCTTTCTATGTAGAGATGCAATTTGGCAGGATTCAACCTGCCTGGCTTCTTTTTTTGTAAATACAACCTCATCAGAGCAACAAGCTAAAAGCCTGGCAGAATCTATTTGCAGTCAGGGAGCAAGAGTGCAATGCAATGAATATTAGAACCAAGCCTTATGAGGCAGAACTTGAACAACTCGCTCTATCCACAGGAGGCCCTAGATAGCCCAGACTCTCTATAGAGACTAAAAAACAGATCTCTGGGTCAAGCCATGTAGTCTGAGACCTTGTCTACATAGCTGAAATTGTCCTGTTAGTATCATCCAGACAATTTTAAGGAGTCTTTGTCCACTTATTCAAGAAAAACAAATATTTGTCTCTGGCACTCTGCTAGGTGCTAGGGATACAACAATGAGCAAAACCAAGATGATCTGTCCTTTATTGACTTACTGTCTAGAGAAAGAGATGGTAATTAGTTAAATGGTTATTAAACAGGTGTACAATTATAACTGAGGTGAATGTTATAGAGGAAAGATTCATGGCAGATCAGAGGCTTAAAAAAACACGTACATTAGAATGGAATCAGAGAAGCCCTGCCTGAGAAAATGACAGCTGAGACATCTGAAGAATGAGTAGGAGTTAACTAGGTGATACAGGAGAAGAGCATTCCAGGCAGAAGGAATGTTTCATGCAAAGGCCCTGGGGTGGGAGGGAGCATGGAACACTCAAGGAACTGAAAGGTCACCGTGTGGTTAGAGGGCAGAGAGTTCGGGGGAGTGTGCGGTTAGAGGGCAGAGAGTTCAGGGGCGTGTGCTGGGAGGGGAGGCTGGAGCAGCAAGCAGGCGCCAGGCAGGGCAAAGCCACGGAGGAGATAGAAAGTATTTTTGTAAAAGCAACAGAAAATCATTTGTGGTACAGAGTGTCAGTTATCCCCCAATATTCATTTCCCCCCTTTAATATTCCCTTCCAATATTCCTTTAATATTGGAACCCCTAAGTTTAGGCTCAGCATGCAGCTATCCAATTAAAAATCACTTCCCAGACTCCTTTGCATATAAGCTTTTCCATGTGACCAAAACAACCTGGCCAATTGCTCTGGCCAATGGGCTGTGAGAAGTAAGTGCAGGCTTCCATTTCCTACCATTCTCTCACTGGCTCCAATGCAGACATGATGGTGGGACTGGAGGAGCCATCCTAGGCCAGGAGATGGAAGCCATATGTTGAGGATGGCAGGGCAACAAAATAGAGGGTAACTGGATCCCCTCACCATGGAACAGTCATTGCGGCCCTGGACTATTAAACTCAGACAACATGTGACAGACTGATACACTTCTAGCTGCTGTATGGAGGGTAAAAGCAGTGGGCTCAATCTGGAGCTATTGCAGCCACCCATTGAGGAGGATGGTGTCTTGAACCTACCTGCAAAGTAGCCATGAAGATAGGACCGGACCCCATTAGAACATCTTTTGCCTCATATAGTGGAAACAGCACAAACTCTGGCCTCAGTGAGAGCCAAGTTCTGCTCTTGGGTTCATTACCTTTTAGCTGAGTGAGCTTGAACAAGTTACTAAGCATCTCTAAGTCTCATTTATAAACCCAAAGTAAGGTTCTTTTTTGGGGGTGTGATGACTAGTTTTGAGATGGCCTTCAGACAGACTCCAACACTGGCTTTTTTGTGGGTCCTCAGGCTGATGATCTACTCTGGAGATTGTGGACTTGCCAGCCTCTATAGTTACATAAGCCAATGCCTTAAAATCTCTTTCCAAATATGATACATACACACACACATCCTATTGATTCTGTTTCTGGAGAATCCTGACTAACATGGGGGTTAACTTCCTATTTATATATGTAGAACAAACTGCACACACATGAAGGGCACAGATCAGTGAACTTTTACAAAGTGAACACAACCACCATTTACAAGAATATCTAGAATATTAGAATTCTGCGAAGAAAGCTATAGCAGTGGTGTAATGTGTTACTCTAAATCCCTACATTGGCTGGGTGCAGTGGCTTACGCCTGTAATCCCAGCACTTTGGCAGGCAGAGGCGGGCGGATCACCTGAGGTCAGGAGTTCAAGACCAGCCTAGGCAACATAGCGAGATTCCATTTCTGGAAAAAATTACCCAGGCATGGTGGCACGTGCCTGTGGTCTCAGCTACTTGGGAGCTTGAGGTGGGAGGATTGCTTGAGCCCAGGAGATCAAGCCTTCAGTGAGTTATGATGGCACACCTGCACTCCAGCCTGGGCAACAGAGAGAGACCCAGTCTCAAAAAAAGAAAAACAAAAAACCCCTGGAACCATAACTATTTAAAAAGATAGCAGGTGTGGTGACTCATGCCTGTAATTCCAGCACTTTGGGAAGCCCAGGCGGGTGGATCACGAGGTCAAGAGATTGAGACCATCGTGGCCAACATGGTGAAACCCTGTCTCTACTAAAAATACAAAAATTAGCTGGGCGTGGTGGTGGGCGCCTGTAGTCCCAGCTATTCGGGAGGTTGAGGCAGGAGAATCGCTTGAACCCGGGAGGCAGAGGTTGCAGTGAGCCGAGGTCACGCCACTGCACTCCAGCCTGGTGACAGGGTGAGACTCCATCTCAAAAAAAAAAAAAAAAAAAAGAAAGAAGATGAAACACATCTAAGAATAATGCAAGACATGGAAGAACAATAAATCAGAGTTAGAAAAACTCTGAAATGTGATTTGACAGGAGTCAGAAAAAAATTAGAAATGAAAGAAAAAGTAATTTCAAAAAGGAAGACTAAATTAAAAGAACACTGGAGTGACTTAACACAGCAGATGCCTTAAGAGAAATAGAAGGTGAAAAGGAGGAAATTATGAAAAATTGAAATTTTAAAAGAGATGAAAAAAATTCAAAGAAATAGAAAATTACAAATATTTATAATTTTATGAAGATAGGCAATGTATTAGGGTTCTCCAGAGGGACAGAACTGATAGGACATATGTATATATGAAAGGGAGTTTACTAGGGAGAATTGGCGTACACCATCACACGGGGAAGTCCCACTTTAGGCCGTCTGCATGCTGGGGGATAAAGAAGCCAGTAGTGGCTCAGTCTGAGTCCAAAAGCCTCAAAAGCAGGGAAGCTGACAGTGCAGCCTTCAGTCTGTGGCCAAAGGCCCTAGAGCTCCCAGCAAACCATTGGTGTAAATCCAAGAGTTTAAAGGCCGAAAAACCTGGAGTCCGATGTCCAAGGGCAGGAGGAACGAACAGACGCATCCAGCACAGGAGAAAGATGAAAGCCAGAAGACTCAGCAAGCCAGCTCATCCCACCTTCTTCCCCCTGCTTTGTTCTAGCCGCCTGGCAGCGGATTGGATGGTGCCCACCCACATTGAGGGTGGGTCTTTCTCTCCCAGTCCGCTGACTCAAATGTCAGTCTCCTCTGGCAACACCTTCACAGACACACTCAGAAACAATACTTTACCAGCTATCTAGGCATCAGTCTCATCAAGTTGACACCT